CCACCTTACCTTTGACAAAGGGGCCAAACATGTTCACTGGAAGAAAGACAGCCTCTTTAATAAATGGTGCTGGAAAAACTGGCTTTCCACATACCAAAGACTAAAACTAAACCCAAGTCTGTAACCATGCACTAAACTAAAGTCAGAATAGATCAAAGATCTAAATATCAAAGCAGAAACACTAAATCTACTGGAAGAGCAGGTAGGTAGATATCTAGAAGAATAGGTGTAGGCATTGAGTTCATGAACAAAAACCAAACTGCGTGAGGAACACTTCAAAGAATCAGTAACTGGGATAGCATCTTATTGATCAATCTATGATTATAGTTAATATACACAAATGCTTAATTTGCAAAGTATTGTGGTGGCTTTTTTCCCTTTAATTTAATAGTCTTAAATAGATTGATTTTGAAACATTTGGTCTTGAAACTAGTCTGAAATTTCCATGTTTTTTTCCAAGCCTTCCAGTGTCAGCAGACAAGATGAAGAAAGGAGGAAAGCCCTTGTTAAGCAAAAAGGAATCCAAGATCCACCCTGAGTTTACAGCGATCACTGAAGGAGAGCGCATTTCACCTTCCGTTAGAGAACTGATGCAGAGTACAGCAGCATGGTTAAGGATCAGAGCCAGTCTAAGAGGAAAGACTCACGTAGTAAAGGAAAATGTGGCTGGATTTAGGTACTGTTATGGTTTGTTTCTGGATGTGCCCCCAAAGCTCATGCAGTCACGGGTGTGAGTGCTACACTCACCGTGGGGTGAGCAGCCTGCATACAGTGTAAGGGAGGGAAAGAGGCTGCTTGCTGCGGCTCCTCCCCTTTTGCTCTTGCTGCTTTTGCTGTTTTCCACCTCCATGAACTGTTACCCTCTGCCATGTGCCACCCTACCTTGGTGCCAGCTGAGTAGGACTGAAACCTCCACAAACTGTGAGCTAAATAAATCTTTCCTTCCTTAACTCTGAGTGTTGGGTATTTTGTCTCAGCAATGAAAGAAAAGTAACCAAGACAGTTACAAAGCTATAAAGAAGGCCAGGAGACTAGGTGGAGGTCAGTTCCAAGGAGTAATAATGTTATGTTGCAAGATGACCAAGATTTCCTCCCTATCGCTACACTAAAGAAGTCATTGCCATTAAAACTAGAACAAGATTTATGTGTATTTAGCCTGCATTGAGACCCATCGTCACCGCACATTGCCTGGCAGATACATAGAAGTCAAGTTCTTACATCCGGGCCACCTAGCGAGCTGACAGACTGAAAGAAAAGGCCTTTCTCACTCTTAGTTCAACAGTTGCATGAAGAACCGGAGGGAGAGGAGTAACTGCAAACTACTTTCCAAGGTGGCAAGCGCATCGTGCTCAAGACTGTCAGCTGCCCTTAGCTGTGCCCAAACAACTTTAACACACATAACTAAGGGGTTTGTTCATAAACCGTGGTTAACATTGTACGCTGTCTTCAAAGAAACTGCCAAGCACGATGTAGGGATCCAGCAAGAGGGGAGCTTTGCTGTAGGTCTTATTTAGAGGGGACTCTACAATGTCTGTAACTTCTGTTTGTAATTCATTTCTGAGTCATACGAAGGAGAAACAAGTATTTCAACACTTTCTCTTTCTCTGTTTGATTCTGGTAGAAAGAAGCCTTACAAACTTGTACAGTAAATTGGTTATTGACACAATGATAACTAAAGTTGGTATTGTTTTATAGCAGTAAGAATAAAGCTGTAATATGGTAAAGCCAATACTTGTTCACGGAAAGATATCAACAGCATGGAAGTGTATAAGACGTTAAACAAGCATTGTTTTTCTTTCCAGTTGCCTTTACACAATCCCTAGTAACATAACCCAAAAGTAGCCATTAATAAATATTCTGGCTGTATTTTTTCCACAAATTTGTTATATTTATGAGGATATTCTTCCTATTTAAAACATTAAATTAAAAGCAAAACTTTGAATGTGCTTTCTCATTAATAACATTTTAGAAATATAAATCTTAAGTTTCTATTAAAAATGTATGAAATTAAAGTTTGGCATTGTAAATACATGGCAGTATCTGAAAACAATATTGCATACTCACAAAACTAGCTAGCATGTAGGCATGTAATATCCATGGCTTTTTCTTATTTTAATTTGTAAGTAAATTAAAGGGAAAACAACAAAATTGAATTTTGGCCCAGAAAATATCAAAAAAGAAAACATACAAATCAAACCCATGCCCCAAAATATGTGTCACAAACATGGAAATAAGTATGAATGTAAATATTTATTTGAAGAGGAGTTCTCTTTTATTGTGCCTGAAAATATAAAGTTATATTAGCTGACATTAAGTGAGGAAAAGCTAATGACTCCACTGGTTGGATTCTCTTAGTATATAAGTTCCTCTCCAGAAATATAAGTGTTTAGACAGGAGAAGAAACTCAGCATTCTGCAGCTGGAACATAGTCCCAGGAGTGAAATTTACACACAGAATTTCTGGCTCAGGATCAAGAAAACTTTCATCCTAATAAATCAAAAAAATTGTAGTGCTAGGAGCGACAATAGAATTCCCAAAAGAGGTGTAGTCCGTTCCTCTATATCCAGGCATCCGTACCTTTCTGGACTGTGTACCTCTCTGGCTTTTAAAAACCAGGGCTGGAGATTCTCCAGTGTCTGTGCTGTGCTCTTTATAGCTTCCCACTCTTATGGTTTGAGATCAGGTAGTTTCGTAGAAGTTTAATTGCAAATTATTTCAGCTATAATTCAGTCAAAGCATCCTCTGTTGTTAATGAAAAAGAACTGAGCACAACCTGGTACTTCATTTAGTCCAAGAAGAAAATTAGCTTGTGACAGTCTACGGTGTTCCCCAGAGAAATACTGTTTCTAGGTTACAATCCTGCATCTAAAAATTTCACCAATTAACTTTGCAAAAGAACTAGCGTTGTTTGTATGTGCTGTGCTCAGTTTGGTGAAAGCAGGATTTTGTTAACTGCTCTAGGAACTTTCACATGGCAGGAAGGTGGAGAGAGTGTGTAAAATGAGAGATCTCAGCCCTGTTGGAGATCTGTTTGCTCTGTGGTGGGTAAAAGGTAACAAGCATTGTGAAATATTTGCTTCAGCCACAGAAGAAATAAATTTGAAATAAAACCGCTAGAGTTCCTTCATTCTGATTGGCATCTGGATCTGTTGGTCTCAAAACAAAAATCCTACACAAAGTCCTTAAATGCAGCTGGATGAACCCCAGGAGGAAAACGACACAGTGGGGGAGAGGTGTGTTCTGCTAAAGGAGATGCATTGAAAATCAGAGCTGCCTGTAGAACAGGGCCCAGAAGAAAACAGAAAGGATTCATGGGTTGATGTCAGAGAATTCAAAGAAATAAACTTTTATGTGAGGTTGTAAATGATCCATACGAAAGTACAGGAAAGTGGAGAAAATGATCAAAGACGAAAAAAAAAAAAGTATGTAAGATATTAACCTTGCAGAAAAAGCCTGTTTGATTTAAAAAGCACACAAAACGATCCAGAAAATAGAGGTGGAAAATGAAATGGGAAGTACAAAAGGGATTGAGACAGAGGATAAAAGATTTTACAGATAAATAAAGAAGCAATAAGGAAAGCCACTTCGCCTCTTGAGAAAGCCAAGACAACTGGGAGATGTGACAGGGAGGCGGGGTGCGGGGGTCATGCCCCTTTGTTCCCTCAGAAGGAAGCATAACCAGCGCAGAACACACAAACACTTTCTCCAAGACAATGGGAGGGGGCGGGGCTTAAGGGTGGCTCACAAGTGAAGTAGAAAACCATTCTTGAGCTAACACTAGAAGTCTAAAGAGACTACTAGCAACAAAAGGAAAAAAATGTACATGTATTGTTAATATAAGAAAAAAATGTACAGAAACAATATATTTTATGTGGTCCAATTGTTATTCTGTTACTTTTAAGCAGTAATATTTTCAGTAGAGTGTGAGTTCATATCAAACAAACTAAACTTTCCTTCCTGCTGAAAAAAAGGAAATGAAAACTGATGAATTTATAAGTACAGCACCATTTTTAGGCATCCTTTGGATATAATTTTACTTCAAGTTTAGTACAACTATAACTTCTTGCTCCCATAGCAGTTGTATTAATACTGTAATAATCTGAAAAATATTAAATTATCAACCTAACACCTGGAGGAATATCATGGCGGCATTCCTACCAATCATTTTTGCTAACTGCTTTACCGAACATTAATTCTGTGATACTACATTATTTATAATTTTTTATAAAATACCTAAATACCCTGATTCTTAATGTTGTAAATTCACTAAAAATAAATGTAGAAGTGGTCAATATTTTCTGTGAGCAGCAAGAGTTATATAAATCTATTTGTTTGTATTCGTGATTCATTGCTATCACTTATCTGTAGGTGATCAGAAAGCAGTTATGCAATTAATCCTGAATGAAAATCACAAAAGTCAGCATGTTAAGTTTGTATGTGGGTTTCCTAGTTTACATCACAGTATCACATAATTCTCCTTATCTGATGGTATTTCATTTTCTACCATTTTTTAGAGAAATAAGTTGCTGACTTTGAATCCAATATTGTGTACACCCCTTACTCAAGCTAAGTGATTGAACTCATTCATGTGGGTTTGTCTCCAGCAGTCTTTACCAGGAGCAAGGAAAGGAAAGAAATTGAGGTATTCAAGTTCTCAATACTATTTCCCTACAAAACTAATGTCTGAATTCCTTATAATGTAATAAAAGTCTACCAAGAAAATGTAAAATAGTATTCTGATATTTCAAAAGTGTGGTATCAATAGTATTTTTTTCATGATAATACTGCAGGCATACCCTGGAGCTACAGAAAACTTGGCAAAATAATATATTCATGAAAAAGTCATCCCAAATATATGCAGAACATTATCTAAAGAAAAGCCTCTTCTTTAATGATGAATTTTACAAGCTATATGGAAAGTGCTTTCAATTGTCACACAATTTAATAGAAACACAGATATTAGGACGTTAGCTCTCACATCTCTCGGCCCTGGCTAATTTCACTAATGTTGCAAAGTGTAGTATTCAAAAAAGGACTTCTGTTGACCATTCAGTCTTAAATTATTCCCCATCAGGAAGTGCCTTATTAAGGTAATACAATTTGTACAATCTAAACAGAAGCATAATGCTGATCTTAAATTGATTCAACTGTATAATGCTTACATTACCATCAAAGCAAATATTCCAGAATGGATAACCTGATATAGTGTGATACTCTGTTGATATAATTAACAACACAAACAAATTACTCTGTGATGCTTGCTATGCAGCTAGTAGATTCTGAAAATGCTAACTGAGCATATTCTGTGATGGCTGATGAGCATCTGATTTCTCCCAAATATAGTATTAATTATAGTGCCAAAATGTTGCAAAGTGTCAATTCCTTAGTCATCTTTATTTGTTCAGTTACCTTGTAATCAAGAATATAAATGCTTAGGAACCAGTCTCCTGGTGAATAGCATCATTCAGATTTCTTTGATTTCACTTTGCTTTTTAATCAACAAACTTAACTCAAACTTGTAAATCAAATATCTGTAATGAATTGGGAGGTGGAATATTTTATTTTCACATCTTTCTAGCTTCATTCGGTTTATCAAGGTGTGACATAAGACCGGCCTTTTCAAATTACTTAAAACCTAGATTGAGGGATTTTTGCTAAAACTATGTTTTATCTATCAAAATAATTTAAAATCATATTGCAGTGGAAAACACAATCATATATGTCGTTATGTCATGAAAAATT